CCTACTCGTCTGCGTGTGAGGCCGTTTGGCGCTCGCGCAGATCATCAACGACCATCACGAGCTCGCAGCAGCCGTCGTCGGCGGCCACGGCGGAGAGCCGGCCTGGATCAAGCGCAGGTTCGTCTGTCCCCCTCTACCACCAAGGCGTCGATCCGCGCCAAGCCGCCCAGCCCGGGGCTGCTCTCGCCCTTGTGGACCTCTCGCAGCTCGACATCCCCGCGCGAGAGTCCGCGCCCAGGCCCATCGCTCCTTGTCCTTCCAACGGCGCCATCAGGCGAAACGCGAATCGGCGCTCGACCAACCCCGATCACCTGGTGGCGGGACAGCAGTTCCCCCAGTTCATATTTCCAGAAGTGGCAGCTCCATCTTACACGTTGGATCACCAGGCAACCGGCTTCGAGGCCGCCGAGCAGCGCCAGCACCAGAGAGTCCCGAGGTCCCCAGTCGCTTTCCACGCGCATGCCCGTGCGATGAGTCGACCCAACAATGGGGATCAGCTGCTCTCCTTGCAATCGCCGTATGACCCGAGCCTGCATTCGGCGCAGCCGACGTCGCATCATTTCGCGCAGCAGCAGCCTCTGCAACAGGTCCAGCACGTCCAGCAGCACCTGCAGCCGCAGCCCCAGCAGCAGTCTCAGCAAGCGACTCCGCCTCAACAGCAGCTTCAGCAACAGCAACAGATGCACGAGCTGCAACTTCAACAACATCAGCAGCAGCAGCAGCAGCAAATGCACCTGCAACAGCAGCAACAGCAGCAACAGCAGCAACAGCAGCTACAGCAGCAGCAATTGCAGCAACAACAGCAGCAGTCGCAGCCGCTACAGCTGCAGCAGCCACAGCAGCAGCAAACACCAGCACAGCTGCAGCAGCCGTTGAGCTTTCAGAATGCCGCCGCAACTGCCGTCCCTGCGGCCTCGATGGTCATGCAGGCGGGGCATCGTCCGATCTCGCACCAGCGGTCCACGTCGCTGGGCCTGAACTTCCACCAGCTCACGACGTCGGACCTCAACCACCAGTCGTCGATGCCGGCCAGTGCCGACCGCATTCAGAGGTTCGACTGGCCCCCACCCATCGGCGCAGTGCCTCCTCAGCAGCAGCAGCAGCAGCAGCAGCAGCAGCAGCAGCAACAGGTCAGCGCGGGCACTCCAATCCAAACGATTGGCGCTCTCGTACCCACATCCATGGCGCAGGCGCACCAAGTCACAAGCATGCCGGGCTCCTCGACCGCTGCGCACGCCGCCATGCTGAGCTCGGTCCCAGAGATGATGATGGCCTCGGCGCCTCAGAGATTAGCTGGGCCAGCAACGTCCGCACCATCTGCGGCAACGACCGGTATGGCCATGCCGTCGCGTGAAACATCGGCCGGGGTTGCTAGCCCGGATCCGCCGGCTGGAGGCAGCGTCGCCACGATCGGCCAGATTGGCCAGCTGCTGGACAACGTCGTCTTGCTCGCCAACAACGCCAGGGACATGTTCAAGCAAGGCGAGCACGGCGTGAGCAGCAACTGCCTCGGTGACTTGCAGCGCTCGCTGACCCGGATCGGCGAGCTCGGCACTCAGAGCCTCGCCACGGTGCAGGCGGATCGAGCTGCGTCGGGTCAGACCCCTCAAAACGAGCAGGTCCAGCAACAGCAACAACCCCACCAGGACCAGGGGCAGGCATCGGCGCCAATGCCGACACCCGTCGTCCGTGGCCCCGCATCGTCGGCCCCCGCAGAGGCGGACAACATTGCTCTGCCCAGTCCGGCGGGCAAGAAGCGGCCCATGCAGGTCGATGGGCTCGAGGGCCCTCTCATCAAATCGCTGCGTTCGGAGGCCAACACGCCCGTGCACCCTCCTTCGGCGCCGCCCTCGGCACCTCCCAGCATGGCTCCGCACTCTTTGGGCATCGTTGCTCCGGAGCCTTCTCATAGCGCTCCCCCGATCCAGCATGCCGCGACGTTGCCGCAGGTCGGCCAGCTGCACCAGGCTCACGCTCATATCGATACCGCTCCGCCCAACCTGCAGCGGCTGCAGGCGGACGACCGATCGCACCAGTCTTCCCCCACCACGCCTCAGACGCCCTTCGAGTTCCCCCTGGCTCAGACCTCGTCGATTTCTCAGGCGATGCCGAGCCAGACCATCCCTGCAAATCCTCCCGCGGCCCAGAATCACTCGCAGCTCTCATCTTTGCAGAACGCGATGCCGCCCTCGGCGTTCCTGGCGACGAGCGAGGGGCTTAGCTCGGAACGGCCTCGCATCTCGAGAAGCGCACTACAGATGTCGACCATGGACGAGTCCACCGGCTCTGGCATGCACTCGGCGCTCGACTCGGGTGCCACGACTCCGGACGGGTCGCAGAGCAACGACGAGAGCTTTGACGACGTCGACGACCAGGGCACCAACCGCCATCTTACTAAGCATCGGCGCCACCGGAGCAGCGGGCCCTTTTCGAGCGGCGCCTCGTTTGATTTCTCGCACCTCGAGGATGGCCAGGAGACTCCCGCTGCCGCTGCCGAACGGGCTGCCGGCGCCGCAGCTCTGTCCCCGGAGCTACGCAGTTCGTTGGACCGCATCTTCCACGACTTCCTCACAGCCGTCTGCTCCAACCTCGAGGCCACGGACGACAGGGGCGAGCTCCTCCACCAGACGCTGATGCCCAAGAAGATGGCCCGGCTCGACGAGTCGCCCGACTTTCGACCGTTCAAATTCCGCATCCAGGCCTTTACCAACGCCTTCCAAGCCGAGGTCTACCGTCACGGGATCAGCGAGGCCGACTGCTCCATCAAGAAGATCAAGCAGTTCCTGTGGACCCAACCCAACATCTCGCGTTTCAACGAGGACGGCAAGAAGGCCAAGTCCAAGGGCAACCACATCTGGATCGTCGAGGCAAAGAAGCTTCAAGAGGGCGGCTGGGAGTTCCGAGAATTTTCGCGCAAGATCGCCGGGGCGCCCGAGAAGATCGCCTACGTCGGTCTCAAGTGGGCCTGGCCGTTGCGCGTCTGGGATCCGCAGGCGTCGTCGTCCAGCATCAAGGCCGTCTTCTCCGCCAACAGCCTGCCGTCGTGGATCCACTGGGAGGAAGGACAGAAGACGCTCTCCGGCGTTCCCGACGCCACCAGCGAGAGCGGCGAGATCAGTGTCACCGCCCACTACGTCCACGCCGGCCAGCTGCACCAGCTCCAGCACTCGTTCCACCTGCAGGTGGCCTCGTTGACCTCGCACGAGCCCGGTCTTCAAGATCCCCAGGCTGGAACTCTGGCGGCCTCGTCGAGTGGGGAAAGCGTCAAGGCCGAGCCTCCGGTTGAGCTGCAGAGCCATCCCAGCATGGCCGGCCCCTCGCTGACGGCCAACATGCAGGCCGCCCCATCCCAGCCCCAGGTGCCGCAGCAGCAGCAGCAGCAGCAATTGATGCCGCCCCATGGCCAGACGCCTGCCGTGCCCGTCAACCCGTATCCTGCCGAGTCCATCAAGTACGAGGTCGTCGACCCTTCGAGGGTCCCGGCAGTCCTGCACGCCATCTCGTTCCCCTTCACGCCGCCGGTGCATCAAGACTCGCGCCAGCAGTACTTGAGCCTGGACGCTGCCACAATGACTCCGCATCAGCCCGACGCTGCGCAGCCGCTCCAGCTCCAGCAACACGCGCAGATCCCGCAGCCGGCCCAAGCCAGCAGCGTGCCGCACGGCACTCCCGTCGGGCCTGCAATGGCCGATGGGATGGCGCAGCTCGCCAGCGCCCCACCGACGATGAGTGGAGAGGACATGCACGCCCAGCAGATCCGCTCGATGATTGAACGGCGCCAGCAGGACCAGGCGGCGTCGTTCTTGCTCTCGATGCCCGCTCGAAAGGGCGCTCATCCGCCGGCCGGACAGTCGACGCCAATGTCGTCGATGCCTGCCGACATGTCGGCGCAGCTACCCGCCATCTCCTCGATGCAACAGATGCAGCCGTCGATGGCCGCCATCGCACCGAGCGTAGCAGCCAACCACGCAGCGCTTTCGCCGGCCGTGCCGGTCGACTTGAACCCGATGAGCCAGGACACGCCTCGCATGCCCACGTACGAGGAGGCAACGATCACGCCTGTGCCGCAGCAGCAACAACCTGCACAGCAGCAGCAGCAGCAGCAGCAGCAGCAGCAGCAACCGCAGCAGCAGCAGCAACCGCAGCATCAGCAACATCAGCAGCAGCAAATTCCGCAACAGATGCCGCAGCAGATGCAGCCGTCCCAGCTCCAGATGGCGCAGCAGCAGCAGCAACATACGCAGCAGCAGCAACAGTGATCTCGCGTCGCAATGTCTTCAGAGAATGACGACCTGCGGCTCCGCTCGCACCCAACCCGGCACCCGCCCACCGACATCCTCGCAACGGCTGCCGCCTCTGTAAATGGCTTCCTTTCCGACACGACCGCTCTTTCTCCCTCCGAACCGACTACAAAGTGACGGGAAGAGCTGCGCTGCTCAATGTATCATCACGCCCTAGCTGGCGCCGACAAATCCCTTTCCGCGACCGCACCTCGGGGCCTCTCTGCGTCGGCATCTCGGCCACCATCACCGCCGGCCGTGCCGACCTCAGCTCCTCGAGCCGGCGCCGCCTCGGACGCGCCCCTCGTCACCTCCGACACGCCTGCCTCCGACGCGTGCCTGCCTGTCCGTCTCCGACCTCTTTCGGCTTTCCATACACCTGGACGAGCCCCGATGACGATCCCAAGATGGCGGGGGGGCAGGAAGGATCTAGAAAGTCATCCAGTCCGCCCGTCCGTCTCTCGATCAAGTCTCTCTTTCTTCCCCTTCTTCTCTCTCTCGTGTTACGCTAGGCTCCTCTATCGTAGTCCCCGCGCCACGTTGCTCCTTCTATGCCCGCTCTTGTCCCGTAGTCGTCTCGAAAAATGTCACCTTTGGTCATGGTCCTCCCCCAAACCCCTCTCCTCCCCCTCTCCCCCTCTCCCCCTCTCCCCCTCTCCCTCTCTCCCCCTCTCTTCTCCGGCCCTCTCCTTCGATGAAGGTGGCCAGTACCCTCCCCGCTGTATATCTGCCGCCTCTCTCCGTGCAGATTCGCACGAGGGACGACATCCGGAGTGCGGCTCGACGATTGAAATCCCACCAACCCCTGTATCCCAGCTCCTCGCCCGCCCGGTGTCTCTTTCTCTCGGCTGCCCTTCTGATCCTGCCAGCCATGCTTTGTAGCTTCTCGCCCTTGTTTCTGTTGGAGCGCGGGATACCGCCGCCGTCGCTCTACGCTCTCTTGCGAACGGAGAGACCATAACCGGATCTTGCACTCGACTCGTAGCCGCTCGCTCCCACTCCCGCCCGACTGTCGGATCGGATAGACTGGCTGGCTGCCTGGCTGGCTGGCTGGCTGCATCGTGTATGTGTTTTCATTACGGGACCTTCGTCCTTCGTCTCGCCCCTCGTACCGTACGTGCGTACAAGCGTGCGTGCGTGCGGTCGCGGTGGTGGGACCCGCTCGCTCCCTTGTCGCCCGCAACCGCCGGCTGAGCCACCCTCGAGCAATGAGGTAGGTGCGACTCGAGTCGAGTCGAATCGTATCGACGAGACGACGGCCGCCCGCTTTCTTTTCGCCTTTCTAACTGCAACAGACGGTGTCCATGTATGGCGTTCCGTTTAGGCCGAGGCGGTGGCCTTCTTGTTCTCAAAGATGGCGTTGATCGACTGCCAGACGACGCTGGGGGCCTGCGAGGCGTCGACGGGAGCTGTATCCGGCGTCGAGCCAAGACAGAGTGATGAGAATGGGGACCGAGGCGGGGTGTGAGCGACTTGTATTTCGTGCAAAGAAGTACCGCACCGATCAGGGCCGGCTCCGGGAGCACGGCGGACGAAAACTCACCCCAGATGCCCTGCTTGCGGTAGTAGTCGGTCACGGCGGCCGTCTGGGCGTGGTAGGTCGAGAGGCGCTTCTTGAGCGTCTCGGCGTTGTCGTCGGATCGCTGGATGAGAGGCTCGCCGGTGATGTCGTCGGTCATGGGCTTCTTCGGGGGGCTGTAGGGGGGATCCAACACAGAGGGAAAAGGAGAGAAAAAGACAGGGGCGTCAGCTTCGGTGAGACAAGGGCACGGCCACCTAATGCTTCTGCGGCTGCAGGCTCACCTGAACTCCTTGTGGTAGCTCCTTCCGCTGGCGGGGTGGATGAGACGTCCCGTGATGCGCGAGATGAGGAGGTTGTCGTTGATCTTGAGTTCGACGGCGTGGTCGAGCTTCTGCTTCTTTTCGTTGAGCATGGCGTCGAGCTTCTCGGCCTGGGGCGTGGTGCGCGGGAAGCCGTCGAGGATGAAGCCGCCCTTGCACGCCTTGTTGTTCTCGAGTTGGTCCTTGATCATGCCCACCATGATTTCGTCCGAGACGAGTCCGCCCTGGTCCATGATCTTCTTGGCCATCCTGCCGAGCTCGGTCTGCTTGGACACCTGGTCGCGCAGCATGTCGCCCGTGGCGAGGTGGCACACGCAGTTGTTGTACTTTTCGAGGATCTTGGGCGCCTGCGTGCCCTTTCCGGCGCCCGGGGGACCGATGAGGATCATGCGGACGCCCTGCTGCGACGAGGCGCCGCCGGTGACGGCGTCCTTGGCGGCCGAAAGGCTCGACGAGGCCTTGCCCTCGAGCTGCGAGATCTTGTCGTTGAGCTGCGAGACGAGCGACTTGAGGTAGCTCAGCTCGGCGCTGCCGTTGGAGCCAGAGCCGGAGCCGCCGAGGGTGGCCTCGACCTCGTCCCTGGAGCGGGGAGGGAAGGGCGAGGCGGGGGTACCGTGCGTGGTCGAGGTGGCCATCTCTGCGAAAGGGAAGGGGGGAAAGGTGATGGGGCAAGGCGGGGGGCGAGATGAGGTCAGGGAGAGGGTCGAGAGCGGTGGTGGTGGTGGTGGATGAAAGGTGGATGTTGGGAGACGGTATGCCTTGGCTGGTCGGTGATGGGCGTCGTTGGGGACCCTGGCTAGCCTGGCCTCTATCTGCTGCTTGATCCACTCGGGGCCGGTCGGGCAAATGAGTGCGCCGATCTTCTCGCCGTCGATAGAGAAGCGAGCGCGGGCGAGTGAGCGAGACTCTGTGTGACGTCTTCTGCCTCTGCCCGCCTCTGCCTCTCTGCCCGCCCGCATTTTCTTCTCGAAGTCTGGCAGGCAGGCCAGGTCAGGCCAGGCCGGCCCCAGACGGCCGAGTTTTCTTCGCAATTGCCGCGTTCGTTTTCATTTCAACCTGCCTGCCCGCTTTGCCGTCTGCCCGCCTGCCTGCCTGCGTTGCCTTGGCATGCCCCGGCCAGAGCCAAGCTGGCAGGGGTGGAGGACATGGGCGTGGGGCGAGGTGGCAGCCAAAAGGCAAGGCCAGGCCAGGGCCCCGCCTTTCCTTTTGAACCTGCCAAATCCGCATCCGATCGATCGGTGGGCGCAGCGCCAGCCAGCGCAGCCCCCCAGCTTGCCCTCTTCTTAGCCCCGACACGCCCCGCAGCCCGATGCCGCACAGACTCAGCCGATCACGCCTCCCCTCCCAGGGCAGGCCTGGCCAAGCACGCCCCGTCAGACCACCATTCGCTCCTCGACCAGTACGCAAGCATGTTACGCTACACTCTGCCTGGTGCAAATGTCCTGCATTCCTCCTGCAACTAGGTAGTGGCGAGGCGAGCCGTCGATAGGCTCAGCGATGGTGGTGGTGGTAGTGGTGTGCCACAGCAGCCGCTCCAGACGCCTCTCCGACGTCGTCCAGCAGCTCGCCTTCTCCCTCGTAGTCCTCCCCATCGTCCTCCTCGTCCACCTCTTCCACGTCTTCATCGTCGTCGTCGTCGTCCTCGACGCCGCCCTCTTGCTCGCCCACATCCTCGAGCACCTCGCCCGAGACATCGCTGTAGTCCATGTACCGGTCCTCGTACGCCGACGCGTTGCTCAGGTCCGCCGGGTTCATGGCGATCCGGTTGCCCGGGTTCGTCCGCCACCCTTCGCCCAGCGCCTTGACCACCTTGAGCAGCCCCGGGTCCAGGTCCACCGCAACCGCGAGGTGGTGCGTAATCTCGGCCTGGAACTGCGCAGGCAGCCGCATCTGCCCGCTCGCCTTGATCGTACCGCCCCCCGCGCCCGCGCCCCTCGCACCGCTCCCCGTCGCCCCGCCCGCCTCCTCGAGCTCGCAGAAGCTGCCATCGCCCATACGCATGTACGACTGCGCCAGCAGCAGGTGCACCGTGGCTTCCTCGGGCGCCAGCTCAAACGCGCTGACGAGGTCCCCATGCGCCGCCTCGTCGTCGCCCTCGTGCGCCAGCAGCTCCGACCGCCGCAGGTAGGTCAGCACTGCCAGCCTCGGAGCCAGCGCAATCGCCTTGTCGTACGCCTCCAACGCGCTCCGTCGCTTGCCAATCTGGGCATACGTCTGCGGTTGGTTGCGGTAGAAAAAGACGTCGAGGCATGGGTCGCTCGGTCAGCCAAATCGCTCGCTCTCTTGTCGTTCGTTCCCTCTGCCACGGCCTCGCCTGCCACTCACCCAGCCGACCAGGTCCCACAGCACGTGGTTCTTGGGGTTGATCGAAATGGCCTGCTGCAGCGACTGGCACGCAGGCAGCTCGTGACCGCCGATGGCCAAAAACACCCGCCCCAGCCCCGCCCAGGCGTTCCAGTGCCGCCGATCACAGCGAATCCCGCTGCGAAAGTAGGCAATGGCCTGGTCGTGGTGGCCCAGATCGTACGCCTCGTGCCCCGCCAAGGTGTAGGCGTAGGCATAGTCGGGCGCCATCGCGGCCGCACGCTGGAAGCACACCAGCGCCGTCTGGTTCTCTCGCTGCAGCGCAAACGCGTTGCCAACGACAATCTGGGTCGCCGCCGACCGCGGCTCGATCAGCGTCATCTCCTGCGCCAGGCCGCCCAGCGCCACCTCGCGATTCAGCTGGAAGAGGACGAGCGAGAAGATGTCCATGTGCGCCAGCAGGTACGGGTTGAGCTTCCGCGCCAGGCCCAGGTGCGTCTCGGCCTTGGCGTACTGCGCCAGCTCGTTGTAGGCGCGACCGAGCAGGCACTGGTAGACGACCGTGTTGCGCCAGCTGGATGCGAGCGATTCGGTCGCCACCATGGAGCCTTCCAGCCCCTTGGCTGTATCGACGGCGTCTGGTCCACCCGCTGTCGCCGCCTCCCTGGCCTTGGCGACCTTTGCTGCGCCTGGGCCTCTTGGCTCGGAGACGAGCACGGCGACCGCGCTCTCGCCATCCAACCTCCTCAAGTGCCTGTAGGCCTCGCCCAGCTGCTTGAGGAGTCCGAAGATGACGAGATCTGCGGCCAGCCACTTGGCCAGCTCCCTGGCCGTCTCGAGCGCCGCGATCCGCTGCCGCTCGGCCAGCTCGGCTCGCAGCCGTGCAGCCTCGCGCTGTGCAGCCTCTTCGACCGCCGCAGCTCTCCGCGTCGCAGCCGACGCGGGCACCCGTGCGCCTGCTGCATTGCCCGTCTGGGTAGCCCACCGAGATGCGGCAGTCGTCCGCGATGCAGGGACCGCCGCCTTGCCGGCCGCGGCACCGCTCGACGCGTTCCTGGCCGAAGCGACCGATCTGCTGCTGGTGCTGTCCGCGGCCGTACCGTTCGAGGTGGCAGGCGTACGCCTGCCCGAGATGCCAGAGTGGGAGCTGACGTTGGAGTTGGCAGATCTCGACGTCGAGGTCGACGTGGCCGACGCGACGCTGCTGGCCTGGCTGGGCGCCGCTGACCGGGTGGTGCTGCGGCCGTTGATGCCCGGTCGAGCGTTGGAGCTCCTCAGCTGCATGCCCGTCGACCGACTGATGGCCGGATTGGCCGTCGTCCGCGTGATTCTGCTCCTGCTGACGCCGCGAAGCGCAGGCTTCTCGTCCTGGCTCACCTGGCTCGCCACGAGCTGCTGGTTGGTGATAGCGCGAGCGTTGGAAAGGGCGCGGCTGTTGGTCGGGTTGGGGCCTGGCCGGGTGGCCGCGTCCGAGGACGGGCCGTTGGCGCGCCGAGCATCACCGGAAGACGAGGCGGTCTTGGCGGCCTGAGGAGCGCCAGCAGCAGCCGCACGGGTCGGCCTAGGCACGGAGCTCGCCCTCGTGACGATCTTGGAGGGCTCCGGAGCGTCGGAGCTTCCCTCGTCCGACACCTTTGCCTTCTTGTTGCTATTGTCCTCGCCCGCTTTCGGCCGTGCAGACGTGGTGGAGGTGGCCGCCGACTCTTCTCCATCGCTCAGCACCGTGCTGGGCGCCGCGGTCGGGCTGCAGAGGGCCTGGCTGCGCTCCGCGTACCTCTCTGCAACGTGCTGCACCGACAGGAGGCCGTCGAAGGCGTTGTCTGTGCCCAGGTCGCAGAGGCCGGTGAGTGCGCGCCAGTTCCAGGGATCGTTTTGCAACGCTTCCCGGAAGGTGGCTGCGGCCTCGGCCGGGCGGTGGCAGCGTGCGTGCTCAAATGCCAGGTCGGTCTTGATCTGCGACTCGTACCTGGCCTCTATGGAGACGAGCTGGGGCGGTTGGTGCGGCTCGGGGTCCGAGGTGGTACCTTGGGCCTTCCTCTTGCCGAGAGCGCTCGATGAGGCGATGGCGCTGGTGGCATGGGAGGCGTCGGAGCTCCTGCCGAGCGTGTGGCAGGCCTCGCGGTACTCGCGGGCACAGCCGGGGTCGGTGTAGGTGGCGGCGGGGCCCTGCTGGAGGATGTAGATGGCGGCCTGAGCACCGGCTCGGTCGTTTGGGTCGGACGAGTTGAGATGGCAAGGGGTGACGGTAGCCGAAGCCGAGGAGCCCGAGGGGGAAAAGGGGAGGACGACGTTGAAGCCGCCGAGCCGGGCGCACTTTGCAAGGATGCGGCGTGCGCGGAGAGAGGCGGGGTCTACGCAGAGTGCGAACGTAGCGTAGAAGGTGGCGGAGCAGAGGTCGTTTTCCCAGGTGATGGGGTCGAGGGGGCGGGAGCCGTCTCTGAGGAAGAGGAAGCTCTCTGCGATGGCGAGCAGGCGTGCGGCGACATGGTGGGTGGAAGCGACGACGTTTTCGCGGAGGAGGATGTGGTGTACGGCGGGTACGGCTGCGGCTGGGTCGTCGTTGTTGGGTGGCGAGGATGAAGTCGGGTCGTGGCGCCTGGCTGCGGGTTCGATGGCAGAAGAGGTAGCAGCGATGGCGGCGGAAGAGGATGAAGAGGGTGGCTGGGCGGGGGCCATTTCTCAGGTGCGCCGAGGAGGCCTCGGTGCAGATGGTCGAGACGAGGTTTGTTGTCCACCCTGGTTGGCCAAGCCGCGGAGGGATGGTGTCGCGTTGCTGTGGGCCAGGGCAGGGCGGGGATCTGCGAGCGAGGGAAGAGGAGCAGGAAGGCGAAGAGAAGGCGGATGAAGAGGGTGGGGAAAGAAGGTGATAAGAAAAGGGCAGCAGCGATTGAAGGTGAAAACGATGGTGGTGGTGGTGACAGGAGGCAAGTGACGACGGCGAGGCGAGGCGAGTCGTGGCTGAGCGAGGGTTGAGTTGGGTGTTGTGCCTACAGTAGCCCGAGCGTCGGCCTGCGAGGTGGAGAAACGAGGGGCGGCCGCGATCCATCCAGCCAGGCCAGGCCTGCCTGCGCGCCGCCCCCTTCGCTCGCCCCCGATCTTGTGCGACGCGCGCACAGCCTAACTACTAATTCCCTTTTGCCGTGCGACAACAGCAGCAGCAGCAGCAGCAGCAGCAGCAGCAGCAGCAGCAGCAGCAGCGCGCAGACTACTGCCGCGCTCCGTCTGGGATCGACTGTGCATGACCACAGGTAGGAGGACGAGGGGCGGCCCGCCTGCCTGCCTGCACGCCCACCAGCCTCGGACAAACAGGCACCGCACCCACGCAGCCAGCTTGCCACGCACTCGCCCCGACTGTCACCCTGCCTGTTGCTCTGCAGGCCACGCCTGCCAACCTTGCCCTCGCCGTCTGTGTTGCAATTTTCTCGTCACCATCAACCTCGGCCCACGTCGTCATCACCGCCCACCCTCTACCACCACCACCACCATCATCGCCGACGCCCGCCCGCCCTCCTCTTTCCCTTTCCCTTTCCCTCGTCCCCCTGGCTCGTTCCCCCCCTTTGACCCACCCAACTGCTTAGGCTCGTCAGCAACCGCCCCTCTCGTTCCTTCGTCCCTGGTATCCTCGCTTCGCCCTATACCTCGTCCTTTCACCCAGCCGTGCATCTTACCCATAGCACGCAGCACCGCTCTCGACTGGATCGCAAAAGGGCTGCCACGCTCCCTCCCCCTCCATCGCCCCTCTATCGCACGCACCCCGCCGCATCCTCATGCTCTCGTTCCGCACCGCCCTGGCGGCGAGCCTAGTGCCCCTCGGCGCTCTCGCCGCGTTCCACTCCAACGACACCGCCTGCACACGCCACTATACCGTACAGGCCGGCGACACCTGCGACACCATCGGACAAAAGACCCTCACTTCCACCTACCAGATCCTCGCACTCAACCTCCTCGAGGCCGGCAGCGACTGCTACACTCTCGAAGTCGGCCGCAAGCTCTGTCTCGGCCGCTTCGGCAACGACTGCCAGTTTGTCCACCGCTGCACCAACGGAGACACCTGTGACTCGATTGCAGCGCAGTACGGAATCAGCCAGGAGCTCCTCCAGGACAACAACCCCATCCTCGACTGCGACATCGTCTACGACGGCCTCGTCCTCTGCGTCACCCCCGGCTCCGTACGCCCGCCCGCCGACAGCAGCATCAACTCGACCGCCATCCGCATCCAGCGCGAAGAAGCACAGCAGCGCCAACGTCTACAGAGGATTCAGGAGGCAGAGGACGAGGCAAAGGCAGCGGCCCAAAAGGCTCAGACCCCTCCCCACCGCAGCTCCAAAAAGGGCAGCAAGAACCGCGGCTCCTCGAAAGAGAAAGAGTCGGCCGGCTCCACGGGGCATCACACGACCGAGAAGGGCTCGCCAAAGAAGCAGCACTCCTCTGAACACAGCAACCACGAGCAGCAGCAGCAGAAGCCGCACTCTGATGCATTGTCCCATGGCAAGAAGCACGAGCAGGGAGGCGGAGCCAAGGCCGTCGAGGGCGCCAACTCGCACGCTGCCCGACCAGACGTTGCCACGAAGCCAAAGCATCACGACGGTGCGGCAGCAGCAGCAGCAGCAGCAGCTGCGACAAAGCCAGGCCCCAAGGACAGCAAGGCTGTGTATGAGCACGGCCACAAACCGCATCCTGCCGCAGCAGGGGCGGCGGTGGGGGCGGCGCATCCTCTGCAGAAGCACCCTCTCTCGGACCTGAAGCCGGAGCAGGCGTCCAAGGACGTGGTCGAGGACGAGCACGTCAAGGCGAACCGGACGGCACCAGCGTCGTCGGCCTCGCACCTGCGCGGACACCACACGGGTGTCAACCACACCCACCGCCGACCGGCCAAGCACGCCGCGGCCGTACCGGCGGCGGATACCGAGGTCTCGCCATCGTCGTCCTAAAGTCGGCAACGACGGCGGTCGCATCTGCCCTGCTTCCCCTTTTTTGCTCTGTCTTGCCTTTTTCCATCGTCGACTCGTCATACCCCCGTCCGCGTTCCCTTTCTCTCGTTTTCTGTTGGGGACGCAGCGTCGGCTCTCTTTTCGTCCCCACGGAAAAGGTTGAGCCCCACCGACGCCACGCCTCGGGACCACGGTCCACCCAATCCCACGCAACTCAACCCACCCGTGGCCCTCCGCGCCCCGTCTGCCTCTCATTGACGTGGCCCTTGCTTCTCAACTTCGACCGCAACCGCTGCTGGACACTACCTTCCCACCCTAGCCTATTCGCGCTCTTGATGGGTGCCACCAATACCGCTACTACGATCCGCAAACCTGTCTTTACTCGACCCCCTTTCTTACTACGACGCCATTCGTCTTCGTCGTCATTGCATCAAACCGTTTCCCTGCGCGTCACCATTCCCCCATCGCCCCCCTTTTTCCCCCCTTTGATCCGACGTCGTTTTTCTAGCCTCGATGCTGGATCTAGATGAACAATGCCCTTTTCTCCCGCACACGCACCGATCTGGCCCTGAAGGTGATGAGATTTTCTTCTCATCTCTCGTCACTCGATATGAAGAGGAAGTGGGAGAGCGAGAGGGGAGTCTAGGTAGGGCCTGAGGGCTCGACCTTGGGTTGGGTTGAGGGGTATTTCGATCGACAGCGAGACGGACAGGGGAGTGGATGGGAAGGACAGTGGTGAGGCGGAGATGGGATGCGGTGACGGGTACCCTGGTATCGACTTGACTTTGACAACGAGAGAGACGGACGCAGTGAGAGTAGTGAGAGGGAGTGTGTGAGAGAGAGAGAGAGAGAGAGAGAGAGAAAGAGAACAAAACGAGCGTTCGTGCGTGGATGGTGGTTATGTTGATGCTTGCGTCGGCGAGGGATCGGAACCAGGAGCAAAAGGGACGGACGGGGCGTGGCGACGACGACGAACCTGGCCTCACCAGCGCGCCGAGACGAGACCGAGGATCTGCTCGCAGATCGACTGGCACTCGTCCTCGCTGTAGCCCTTTCCGCTATCACGCAGCGACGCATCCTGGAGGCTCTTGAGGAGGTGGTCGTCGCTGGGCTCGCCCAGCCGCTCTGCCTCCTCGAGGATCCGCTTGACCTGGTCCGGCAGGATGTCCCACCGGTGCGCCGCGAGGATGCCATCGCCCACGCCGCGAATCTCAAACTCGATCAGCTCGTCGGCCGCCGAAGCCGGCAGCGCCGTGTAGGATCGCGGCTGGATCAGGAGCGTCGATATGGAACGGGACGCGTCGGCCGGCGAGGCCATGCCTGATGACGCCGAGCCGGACGACGACGATGCGGCGCCCGGGTCGACGACGGAGCTTGGGGCAATGAGGTCGAACAGGCAGTCGGGCGCCCGCATCGTCGCGCCACCGCCGCCGCCGCCGCTGCTGCTGCCGACACGGCCTTCCTCCTTTGTCGGGCTCGCCTCGGGCGTGATCAGCCCGCCCGGGTTTTTTGCCGGCGTGAGCGGAGGGGCGGTGGGGTTGATGCGGCGTTCTCGGCTGGCGATGCCGACGATGCGCAGGTCCTCGACGCTGGCGCGGATCCTCTCCCACTGGGCGCGGTCGAGCCTCTCTACGCGCTTCTTGACACCGTCGACGAAGAAGTTGGGCTCAAAGAGCGCGTGCACCAGCTGCCTGCTCCCCGGCGCTGCTGCCGCGGTCGATGCTGGAGGCGCTCCCGTCTCGGCGGTGGCGGAAGATGTGGGGGCGACTTTGGACGTGGTGTGGATGAGGACGCAGGTTTCGAGCGAAGGGGTGAGGCGGCCGAGGGTGAGGACCGAGGGGCGAGAGGTGAGGGCGGCACTGGCGAGGGAGCGCTTGCGCCGAAGGCGAGAGGTCATGTCCATTGCGACCTGGTCAAAAGCAGGCGACGAGGGGAGCGAGGGCGAGGCCGACGCCGACATGGTCGACTGGGCGGTGTACGTCGGGGGCTGAGGCGGGTGTGGTGCGCTGGCGAGACGAGGTTGTGGAAAGAGGAGATATACGCTGGTCGAGGGGGTCTCGGTCACGGTGCAGAGGAGAGGGAAGGGCAAGGGAGATGCGGAAGTGGCGGTGACGAGGATGGTGACAGCTGGACGGAGGTTGAAGCCGTGAGCGGGGAGGGCACGTTGGCGTTGGGGACAAAGGGGAGAGCGGTGGTCGAGGCAGGCTCGGTGATGGTGGTGGTGGTGGTGGCAGGCGGCAAAAGGCGGGGATGTGATGTGGCAAACTGAATCGTGGCGGCAGGTAGGCTTTGGCCTCGTCGGTGGGTGCGTGTGACACGGAGGAACGGGCCGCCGCCGCTGGTGCTGCTTCGATGTAGTCACGGTCGGTTGGAGGGGTGCTCGGTGCATATGAAGACGCAGGCCAGGCAAAGCATGCGGCGTGGGCCGTAAGCGCCAAAAAAGCTGGGGCAACGGCGCCGGTCCAAGCGCACCGTTCGCTTTGATTCCGCTTGACCGCCCGCTTTGATTCCGCTTGATGAGGTTAGGCTAGGCCAGGCTAGGCCGGTAGCCGCTCCGTACCCCGCCCAGTTGCCCGTCCGCAAGGCAAGCTGGCAGGCATAGACTCTCTAGGGGCGCGTGATATGACTCTGGCTCGGCCAGGTGCGGTCGATCTACCTCTTACACTAGGCTGCCGCTGCTCCTCGGACGGGCTAGGTGGGGGACCCACAAGACCTAGCCTGTGTGGCTCCCATTCAGCCCCCCCTTCACCAAGCTTTCCTCGCGCGTCCGCCTGGCTGGGCGAGCCAGAGCTCAGGGGGGGGCGCCTTCACTTCAGTCTGAGCTGGGACCGAACCAGCAGCCTGTGGCTGCGCTCTGCAAGGGTCCCGGCAGCAGCTGACGCGGGCGGCGGTCGGGTCGGTGTCTCATGCGGTGTTGATCATCTTAGCTTGTGGGCTGAAGCCAAGAGGCTGCTCAGATCTGGCGCCGACGGCCGCTTTCAACGGCCGAACCTGGCTCAGCGACGCCTCTTTTCTCTATCTCTCTCTCTCCGCGCCGCTTTCCTTGCTTCCATCCAAACAGCCTCTCTCTCGCATTCGTTCACTTCATCCGGGCCTCGCCCTGCTCGCCCAGTCGCCCTGACCGCCCGTCGCACGCACGCGACCATCTCACCCAGGCAAAAATCACATCTGGCCATTGCAGTCGACAACCACCAACAGCACCCCTCGTCGCCGCCCCGCTACTCCTCCTTCCTCGGGTCGACAATGTTGTGGATCTTGGGCTCAAAGTCGAAAAAGAAGGGCACCACCACCGGCTCCAGGAAGAAGGGATACTGGTTGACCTGCACCATGCCGCACGTTCCCCGGTCCAGCGAGATGAACCAGTAGTGGTTCATGATGCCCGCCCACCAGATGCCACGCCCGCGCCCGTTGGGCAGGTTGTTGGCCACGCACCCGCCAAAGCACCACTGCTTCTCGAACCCGGGCAGGATCGAAAACGGGTTCGTCACCTTGGGTTGCGTCGCCATCACCGGTCGGTCCAGGTCCTTGACCAGCTCCGCCGAGAGCTGCTCCTCGAACAGCAGCTCCACCGTCTCGGGCTTGAGGATCTGACCGCCCTTGGGGTGCGTGCCCCTGTTGAGCAGTGCCACTAGGATTTGGCCGTACTCGCCCGCGCTGGCGTACAGGCCAGCGCCGCCGTACTGCACCTCAATCTTGGACTCGTCCTGCTGCAGCGGGTGCGGGATCTCGTGGATGCTCCCGTCGGCCGGGTCGCGGTACGTGGTGCCCGACTTGGGCGCCAGCAGCCCGCCAGTCTGCGGCTTGAACGTCATGCCCTTGATGCCCAGCGGCTTGAAGATGTGCTCCTTGAAGTAGCCGTCGAGGTCCTGGCCCGACACGGCCTCGACAATCTGGCCGCACCAGTCGATCGAGCTGCCGTACTCCCAGCGGGTGCCCGGGTCGGCGATCATGGGCGCCTCGATCGACGACTTGGCGCACCCGAACGCATCGATGCCGTTCTTGGCGCAATAGGCGTCGACGGCCTCGTTGAAAAAGGGGTACGTCTGGCCCGAAGTGTGGCTGGCCAGCTCGCGCACCGTCGGCTGGCGCTTGGGCGGTCGCAGCGAGCCGTCGGCCTCGATGACCTGGAGCTTGGTGATGCCCGGAACGTACTTGTCGGCGGGCGAGTCGAGGTCGACCTTGCCCTGCTCGACGAGCTGCAGCAGCGCGATGACGGTGACGAGCTTGGTGCAGCTCGCAATCCAGAAGGGCGTCTCGGTCGTCACGTCCTTGCCCGACGAGGGCGACAGCTTGCCCGCGGCGGCGTGGGCAATCGTCCCGTTGCGGTCGCCCGCCCACACGGCGGCGCCCGGGAAGCTCGACTGCCCCACGAGCTGGTCGACGAACGCCTGTGCGACGGCCTGGGCGGATGTCATGGTGGTGATGGTGGTGCTCGGCGAGGATCACTCGGTAGTATGAACGGTGGAAACGGTCGGCGCCAGGTTGTGGTTGGCGGGAGGGAGTGGGAAAGAAGACGAGATACGTGAAGCAAGGTCTGGCTCTGGCTGATGGCTTCCTATATAGACCGTGGTGCGGCTGGTGGCCGCCATCCCCGCAGCGTAATAACGCTGAGGTGCTGTGTACTGGTATGGCTCGTCAGGTGGCCCCGGCGTTCCAGAGGTAGTTACGGCCGCGCTTGCTCGCCCATCCAACCGAGGTCTGGCGAGGGGGCCGGCATCCCGCCAGGCAACAAGGATCCGGGGCAAATAGAGCTCGCCGCCTGACCCCGCATCGCGTGGAGGTCATCACGGAAGCCACTTTAGCTTGGGTCCTCCCTCGTCTTTGTCTTGATCGGCGGCACACTTCCGACCCGTCTCGATGGAGCAAGATACGGCATCTCGATTCCGCCACTTCCGACATCTGCTCGACTCGCAAGACCGGGCCGCTCGAAGCCCGTCATTGCCGTCTGCTTCTACCTCTTCTTGCTCTTGCCCTTGCCGTTGCTCGAGCCGCCAGCGCCAGCGGCGTCAGCGCCGCCAGGTCCACCTTGGGCCGCCTGGCGCTCGTCGCCCTCGGCCAGCTCCAGCAGCACCTCGAGCTTGCGCCGCTTTGACTCGGCCTCGAGCTGCGACAGCATGTACTCGAGCCCCAGCCCCACCTCGTGCTCGCCCTCCATAATCGAGTCAATGCCCGAGAGCGAGAGGTTGATGCGGTGGTCCGTCACACGGTCCTGCCGTCATCATTGTCATCCGTCAACCGACGCGGCCAATCACAGGAAGACTCCAGGTCAGCTTGGGCGTACAAAGAACGGCGGTGCCCCGTGCAACGACCGCGGCGCCACTCACCTGGGGAAAGTTGTAAGTCCTGATTCGGTCAGACCGGTCCATGCCCGCCACCTGGGCGAGGCGCTTGGCGCGGTTGCCCTCGACCTCTTCTCGCATCTTGCGGTCCAGCAGGCGGGCGCGGAGGATGTCCCACGCCTTGGTCCGGTTCTGGTGCTGGCTCCTCGAGTCCTGCATCGACACCGTGATGCCCGTCGGCTCGTGGGTGAGTCGGATGGCCGACTCGGTCTTGTTGACGTGCTGCCCTCCGGCGCCCCTCGAGCGCATCACCTCGGTCTTGACGTCCTTGGGGTCCACGACGTCGTCGGCCTTGGCCGACTCTCCCGAGTTGGCCGAGACGGGCAGCACCATGACGGCGATCGTCGAGCTCTGCAGCTTGCCCAGGTTCTGCGTGGCGGGGATCCGCTGCACCCGGTGCACGCCCGCTTCGAACTTGAGCCGGCGGTAGGCGCCCCGGCCCTTGACCTCGAGGATGGCCTCCTTGAGCCCCAGGCCCGATCCGCTGCTGCTCGTCGTCACGTCGGTGCTGGTGAGCGACAGCGTCTCGACCTGCCACTGACCGCCCCCGTCCTCGTCGGCCGGCTTGTTCTCGCAGAACTTGGTGTACATCCTCGTCACCTCGCCCACGAACAGGCTCGACTCCTGACCTCCGACGCCCGGCCGAAGCTCGAGGATGGCCCCCTCGGCGGTGGCCTCGATGGGGTCGACCGAGGTGCTCAGCAGCACCTCTTGCAGCTCTGCGCGCACGTCGTCGAGCTCGGACTCGAGCGATGGCAGCTCCTCGAGCGCCATCGCCCGCATGTCCTCGTCAGGATCCGACTCGCTCATCTTGATGGTCGAAACAAGCTGCTTGCGCTTGGCCTCGAAGCTCTCCCAGACCTGGCGGACGGGTTCGAGCTCCTTGAGCTGCTTGCCGACGACATCTGCGGCGAAAGTCCCGCTACCGCCTTCATATGTCGATGGCGAGGATGGTCCTCCTTCGGTCGCACTCCCGCCTGCTGCTGCTGCTGCTTGCTCGTACAGCAGCCTCTCGCGCTGCTGCATCTTGGTCTTTGCGAGGCGCACCGCGACGTCTCGGTCGATATCGAGCACAGGTCCATCCTGAGCAGGCGCAGATCTGCTTGCTGATGTCGATGCTAGCCGTGACCGGTACGAGGGGTCGAAAATCGGCCGAGGATCGAGAGAGCGGGCTGTCCTGGGTGTGCCGGCGGAACGGGAGGCGGTCGAGGTGCATGGTCGGCACTGGGAGCACAGCGCTCTCCGCGGAGTGACATTCGCAGATCGCCCTGCTCTCGATGAGCAGGTCAGCAGGCTAGCTGCGAGTGAAGTCGACGGCCTCGACATGTGGCGATTGAATGTCCGAAGTGAATGGTGGCGGTGGTAGAAGTCAGCGAGACGGCACGAGGCGAGGAGCAGTCCCTCCCGGTCCCAACTCGACTTTCTTCTTGAACCCCCTTCCTCGGGAGTCGGGCAATTCGATTGGCCCAGCCGGGTCAGGAGCGGGACGGGGCTGTGGGTCGGAACTCGGGATGGCGTAAGAGGGCGGCCGGATGATAAAGCCAGCCAGCCAGGCCTGGCCTGGCCAGCCAAGCGCGGACCCTGCCGGTCACCCGCGACTCTCTGCCGCCCAGATGCCCGTAACCAGCAGGGTGTCGCTCTCACCACGACCGCCGCTGCCTACCGGTACCTCACTTCCTTCAGCCTCCCCTCGCACGACATCGCATCGTCACCGCATGCGCGCACCAGCCAGCTCGATCCGACATGCCTCATCGGCTCAGAGAGCCTCTCTTCGGCCCGCTGCCTCGAGGATGTGGCAGGGCGACATCCGATGTCGCGTGCACCGGGCCACCTAGCTTCGGCCTGTGACCGCGGCGGTACACAGATCTCGATCCTCGACCAGCCGTCCTGGCCCTCCTTTCCATCGGCCGCACCTTTGCTGCACCGGCACGCTGCCCGCTGCGTACTTAACAGCTCCCTGTCGAAGTCAAGCCGAGGTCAAGCCCACCGTCCTGCCTCCTCGCTCTTCGAATCGACTGCACCTCCGCCTATCACAGATCGTTCCTCAGCATGCCCAGCGCACGCAGAAACAAGCCTGCGTCGTCGTCGACCACATCCGTCCCGACTCCGGCGGCCGAATCCACTGCCTCTTCGGCATCGCCACCGAAAAAGTCTCGGGTCCTTCGTCGAAAGACCGACCATTCCGTCATCGAACGTCGACGCCGCGAAAAGATCAACGAGAAGCTCGTCCAGCTCCAGTCTGTCGTCCCGGCCTGCCGGCGAGAATGCCAGGACCTGTTCGAGAGGCGTTTCGACGGTGCCACCGCTACCGCTGCCGAGTCATCGAAACGGCAAACATCGACCGATAAACTGGCAAAGGCCAAGGAAGACATGCAGCACAAGATCCGGACCAGCATGGTCCTGGAGAAGCTCTGCATCATCTCGCACACCGTCGGTGAGTACCAGTCCTGGCATGCTTCACCTGACAGCGATCGTCCGCAGCACAGTCTCTGACCATGATGCGGGTCTCTCCCTCTCACTTCGCAGACTACGTGTTGGAATTGCGAGCAGAACTCGAGCAGCTCAAAGGTCGATGCAGGTCGGAGCACGGAGCAACCAGTCCGGGCACGTCGCCGGCGGACACCGAGCGCCTGCTGGGCAAGAGCATGGCCGATCACTACCAGGAAGCGCATCCTCCATCGCAGACTCAAGCATGTGTTGGCGAGGCCGAGGTTTCGAAGCGCCGAGTAGCCCGGGGACGTTCGGCTTCGACGTCGACGGCATCGAGCTCCACGCCTACGACGCCTCCGCAGAGCCCACGGCACGCCTGTACGCCTTCAATTAGCAAGATCGTCGAACTGCCGGGCGGTGGCAGGCTCCAAGACGATCGGACCTTGTCCGCGCCCTCCTGCTCGCACGTCGCCAAAAAGGTGCGGCTGCACTGGGGAAGCGACCGGGTGCGCAGCAGTGCGGTCAAGAATGCCCGATGCCGCGGGTCGGACCACGGCTTCGACGAGCCCGCAGCAGCTACGGCCAAGTCGTCTGCTGCGATCGAGTGCTGCGATGCTTGCGAAGATGTCGAAGGCGATCATCTGCCTAGTGACGGACTCTGCTCTGACGCATCTTGCTGTGGCGACGCTGGCGCAGACGACGACGACGACGACGACGACGCCGGCTGCTGCCCCTCGACTACGACGCCGGTCCATCCGGCGGACGCGTGCACGACGGCCCATTGGACGCCGGCGCTGAAGCGGAAGCTCGACGCTGATGACGACGGGCAACCTGCAGGCATCTGGCCGTTGTCCGCCCATTCTGCCTGCTGCTCCGGGACTGCCCCTCCGCGCCCATCGCTACCGCCTCCCGGGCAGCTCTTCCCGCACCTCTGCCATGGCGCGTGGTCCGCCGACCCAAGGACGCGAGGTCGCCTGTTGCTGCCCAAGCCTCACTCGCGCCACCCAGCATCGGCGCAGCGGTCGACGGCAAGGCCGTCGGGTGGGCCGTCCAGTCCCAGCATTGCCGCCAACGCCGTGTCGCTGTACAGCTCCACGCGAATGACGTCGCTGCCGAGGTCGAGGTACCACCATCTTCATCAATGTTCGCATCGCTTCCCTGCCACTTAACGCCCGCCACTTTGCAAGATAGATTGTTTCTCTCGTTCTAACGTAGTGTGTCCAGATCGTGTACCAGGCGTTTCTTGTGTTGCAGAGTGGATAGAGGTATATGTTGCCGCCGGCAAAGGCGGCCCGGTGCGCCTGGCTCGAAGGCCTAGGATGATTTCTCAGTCTCACTACTTGGCGCCGCCGTCGCCTCTGCCTGTTCCTCCCCGATCTTGTTCACCTCTTGCTGCTCCTTTGCCTCCGCCTTGACGCCGATGAAGTCAAGCTTGTCGTTGAAGCCGCACGTTTTCAGATCCCTCCACGTCTCTTCTGGCTCATTGTCGCTCTGAAGGTGGAACATTTCGCAGAAGCCGCGGAAGGTGAGGTTGCCGTCGTCGTCGGTGTCGAGGTACTCTTGGATCTCTTCCTTCGCCTCCTCCGGGAAGGTTGATCCGTTGGTGGCCATGGCGAAGTCATCGAGATCCGAGGCGGTCAGCGTGTCGTCCTTGGACGGTCGTGGGAGTGAGGTCGAGGGTTGGTGCGCGTCGAGGGTGGGGTTTGCCTTGCGGTAGCTGCTCGAGAAGCGGGCAAAGATGCGGAGCAGGGCGGCTTCGAGCTGCGGCAGCCGGGGAAAAAGGGACAAATGGGAGAGGTCAGCATTGGGCGATGACGCAGAGCGAAGGAACCGGCTTGGGGAGCGGAGGGAGGGCTGAGCCTACCTTGTCGCTGATGTCGCCCTCGTCGTTGATGAGGAGCGCCTTGAGCTTGTCGTTGGCCTCTCGCTCCTCTGCCGAAACCGGAGCGGGCATCGAGATCTGTTCCTCTGTGTCTGACATGGTGCGTGTGAGGTCGTTGAGCGGGCGAGGGTCGAGGTGGTCGGGATGCAGAGTGTCGGAGGGGGGCTGGCAGGTGGACCCCAAGGAAGAAAGCTCCAGGGGGCCGAGGCTGGCCCCCGGGTTGTCCGACTTCCGAAGTCGAAATTTTTCGCGGCGGCTGCAGGCGGCTGGCTGGCCTGCCTGGCCCTGCTGGCTCTGGCCCTGGCCCTGTTGGGTTCTTCCTGCTGGCCTCCTTCTCCACTCCAGCCCCACCACCATCTCCTCTCTCAAGCCTTTCCCCCTGGCGTCGTTGCCGTCGCTTCCAAGCACCATGGCACCCACAAAGAAGGCTCCAAAGCCAAAGCGGCCCGTTCAGAAGAACACGCGGAATGGCAAGCCAAACAAGTCCAAGAAAGCAGCCGCCGCCTCTTCCGCTGCGACCACCGCCACCGCCTCTCCCAAAAAGGCAATGAGATACGTCCCGCATTCTTCCCTGGCATGGTCTACGGTGCACGTACCCACCGAGGCCTTCTCGGGCGGAGCGGGAACCACCGATTCGACCTTCTTCCACGGCTTCAGCTTCGACGACGACGACTTCATGGGCCTCCAGGAGATCGAGGACGTCGACGTCGAGTTCGAAAAGACAAAGGACGGCGGCAAGACGATCAAGTTCAAGGCCGCCGAGTACAGCATCAAGGGCAAGGGAGGAAAGGGCAAGAAGAAGGCGCTGGTCGAAGAGCAGGCCGAGGCCGGTGAGGCTGGACAGAGCGAGGATGAAGAGGATGAGGATCTCAGGCAGGCTCCGCCGGCCGCCAAGCAGAGTGGCAAGCGCAAGAGGACAGAAGCAGCGCAAGACGTGGACGACTACATCTCGCCGTTCGCGGCAGAGGAGGATGCCATTGCTGCCTCGGCATCCGAGGATCAGGCTGGCAACCAAGACGAGGAGGACGGGGAGGCCGATTTCGACGACGACGATCCCATCGATGGCGAGGAGGCGGACCTCACGCCCGACGAAGAAGACGAGGACGATGTCATCGACGAGGAAGCCGACGAGGAGCTCGAGGACGACGACCTTGCAGTCGCCTTCAGCAAGGCGCAGTCTGCAGGCCTGGCGCTCGACGGCGAGGGCGACGATGACGAGGGCGACGATGGCAACTTTGATGAGTCGCTCCTGCCCGGCTGGTCGGCGCTCCCTCTCCACTCTGAGCTCAAGCGAGCGCTCTACAACATGAAGTTCGAAAAGCCGACAGAGATCCAAGCCCGCTCGCTGCCGCCCGCACTCGGCCTTCAGGGCGCCGAGAGCGATGTCTCTTCCGATGAGGAGGGAGACAGCGATGCCGACGACAGCGAGGTCGCCACGGTTGGCAACAAGAAGGACGTGGTGGGAATCTCGCAGACCGGCAGCGGTAAGACGCTTGCCTACGGGCTGCCCATCCTGCAGTGGCTCTACCACAACGCTCCGGGCAGCGTACCGATGCCATCGATCGCCGACGAAGCTCAGGACGACGACGACGACGACAGTCTGCCACCACCGCTCGGGGCGCTCATCATCACTCCGACGCGAGAACTCGCGCTGCAGGTGGCGACGCACCTGTCGGACGTCATCAGGGCGAGCTGTCGCTCCTCGCCCTCCGACGAGACCGTGTCGAAGCGGAAGCTCTCGCAGCGCCCGCATATTGCCGTCATCTGCGGAGGCATGTCGGAGCAGAAGCAGAAGCGCATGCTCGAGGGACGCAGCCGCAGCAGCGGCGGTGCCGACATCATTGTCGCCACGCCAGGTCGGCTGTGGGAGATGGCGAGGCTTGATGACCGCCTTGCGGGGCGCATCAAGCGGACCCGGTTCCTCGTGCTTGACGAGGCGGACCGCATGGTCGAGGTGGGCCACTTCGCCGAAATGGAGCACATCCTCAAGCTCGTCTCGCGCGACTCCGTCGAGGCGCCCGAGGATGACGCTGCGGGCTCGGACGACGGCGAAGACGATGGAGGCGACGGTCTCGAGCCCCTTACGGTCGGCGTGCGCCCGTCGGACAACATGCAAACCTTTGTCTTCTCGGCCACGCTCAGCAAGGCGCTGCAGAAGAACCTGCAGAAGCGGAAGCGGATCTCGCCCAAGGACTTCAAGAAGCGTCGCGGCAAGAAGGCCAACGCGGCAGAGGCCACCACGCTCGACGACCTGATGGAGCGCATCGACTTCCGCGACGAGCGGCCGACGGTGGTCGACCTGACGGGCGGGCAGGGCCTGCCAGAGGGCCTGATGGAGACCAAGGTCGAGTGCCTGCACACGGACAAGGACCTCTACCTCTACTACTTCCTGCTGCGGTACCCGGGCCGGACGCTGGTGTTTGTCAACTCGATCGACGGCATCCGCCGCCTCCAGCCGATCCTGGCCAACCTGCGCATCAACGTCTTTCCTCTGCACAGCCAGCTGCAGCAGAAGCAGCGGCTCAAGAACCTCGACCGCTTCCGCGCCACGCAGCTCTCGCGCGCCAAGACGGCGGGCGAGAAGATTGCGGCCGCCTCGCACGACTCGACGAACGGCAGCCTCGGCGGATCGAGCTCAGTGCTCCTCGCCACCGACGTAGCGGCGCGTGGTCTCGACATCCCCGCCGTCGACCACGTTGTGCACTACCAGTTGCCTCGCAGCGCCGACTCGTACGTCCACCGAAGCGGACGTACCGCTCGTGCGGGCGGTACCGGCGTGGCATTGGCGCTCATCGAGCCTAAGGAGAAGAAGCTGTGGAGCAGTCTGTGCCGGACGCTGAGCAGGAGTGAGTATTGGGGCGGCCCGTGTGGATCGAGAACTTTGCGCCCATAGACGCTAACACGTTTCCCTCGTTGCGCCCTGCGATTCTGTCGGTCGCCAGGACAAGACACGCTTGCGCTGCCCATCATCTACTCTCTGCTGCCGGCGCTCAAGCACCGCCTTGCGCTGTCGCGCGAGCTCGACCAAAAGCGGCACAAGACGAGCAAGGCGTCGCACGAAGACAGCTGGCTCCGCTCGCTCGCGTCGGAAGCCGAGCTCGATTTCCACAACGGCGACTCGGACTCGGATGGCGAGACGCCCGGTGGCAGCGGCGGGGGCGGCGGCAAGGGGCGGAAGGCCAAGATCTACTCTGCGCAGGTGCGCGACCTCGAGGCGCAGCTCGAGGTGGCGTTGCGGCAACCCCTCAAGCAGCGGGGGACCAGCAGGAAGTACATCACCACCGTCGATCTGGGTGGTACGGGCAAGGGGAGCTTGGCGAGCCAGCTGGTCGGTGATGCGCGTAAGTGTCTCGACGCTGCTTGCGGTTGGGGGGGGGGGGGGGGGGGGGGACGCTTGCTTGGCATTACGTTCCTCGTTCCTCCCCCCACTCCGTGCGCTCGCGTCGTACCGCCAAGAGAGCATGTGCACTGACCCCGCCACGTAATCATTCCGACCTTCTTCCTTTCCATCGACGTGCGCACCGTCAACAGATCACGAAACCGTCCTGGGTCTCGACCAGAGCAGCGCGTCCAAGGACCTTTCCGCCCTCTCTTCCCGCCAACCCTCGGCGACCGCTGCAGCGTCACGCAAGCAGAAGAAGCAGAAAAAGGAAAAGGCGACGAACGCTGCACAGCCCCGTGCGCGCGTCCCCTCTGCGGTCCCCGTCGCCTCTTCGGCCGTCGCGGCGGCTCCTGCGTCCGCCAAGAAGCCGACGACGTCCATCAAGCAGAAGCGCCGCGCAAAGGAGATGGCCAGGCAGGTGCTCAAGATGAAGCGCGCCGGCAAACAGTAAGCGCGGGTCCTGTCCGTCCGTCCTTTCTGTCCTCCCTCTCGCCGCTGGATGGGATTGTGGTGATGCATAGTGCAATGCAAGAGGAAGAAGGGAGCAACGAATTGTCTATCGTTATTACAGAAAGCACAGGGAGCGCGGGTAAGCCGGAAAGTGCGTGTATGAGAGAGAGAAGAGGGGAAGGGGCCATAGCGGGTCTAAATGAAGGCCGGGTCAGAATGCGAGCATCGACGCGACGCGGGGTGCGGTGCGGATGCCGGAAAAGGGGAGAAAGGAAGGGTCGGGCACGACGGTGCTAGCGCCGCTGCTGGTGCTGGGGCGAGAGTGGGTGTGGTGGTGGTGCGACGACGACGAGGGGTGGTACCAGCCCACCGCGTCGGTCGAAGCGCCCTGAGCGTGGGCGGCGAAGGGGTTGGCATCGCCGCCGTTGTGGCAGAGGACCGAGTGGGTGCGCTGATCGCCGTACGACGTCGAGGGGCGCGCCGCCTCCTCAACCCTGGCGCGCTTGGCGGGATGAGGGGTGGGCGAATCTCCAAACCCCGCCGCCTGACCGTGAGCGTGAGCGTGGTAGTGGTGCGGGTGCGGGTGGTGGTGTCGGTAGTCGGAAGACGGATGGTCCAGCATGGTGTCGACCGAGTGCGATCCCGAGGGCGAGGCGAGGACGCCGTAGGCCGAGTTGGGCCACGACGTGGCTTCCAGGTGGTTGCCTCGCTGCAGCGGCGATGCCGCGATCGACGAGGACGACGACGAGGCGGCGTAGGGTGCGGGCGACATGGTGGCCGCCGTGTCGGACAGGGCGCGGGCGCCCGGAGCGCTCGAGGGCATCGACGCGTCGCAGCGTCCCACCGGGTCCCACGCCGCCACGTTGGCGCCACCGTGCGCGGCAGCCGTCGCCGTCGCCGTCGCCGTCGCGCTGTGGCCGGGCGTCTGGAGGAAGACGAGGGCAGGGTCAAAGTTTGAGTCCGGGATGGCAGTCATCGATGCGCCGTGACCAATCGACGTGGCATCCGACGGGGCCACGGTGAGCTGGGGCGGAAAGAGGGGCGCGGCGGTCGTGACATCAATGCTGGGGTAGGGCTTGAGGCCGCCGTCGACGTCGGTGGCGGCGCTGTCAAAGCTCGACGAGTGGGCGTCGGGGCTCGACTGGAGGCCGAGCTGGAAGCGCGTCTCGTTTGCAAAGGCCTTTGCCTCGGAGACGCGTCGGTGCTTTGCCTGGATGCTCTGGCTGTCGGTCCAGCGCGGCGTGCTGCGAGAGGCTGCGACCGAGGCCGACGACGACGACGATGATGCCGACGCGGCGGTGAAGGCGGCCGTGTACGACTGAGGACCTCCTGCGTTGAGGCTGGCCTCGACCACCTGGTGGATCCGGGCGGCCTCTGCGGCGTCGATGTAGCTGAGCTGCTGCTGCTGTTGCTGGTGGTGCTGCTGCTGGTCGTTGGAGGAGGGCAGGTAGGGCAGGTCCTTTCCTACGCGAGCCAGCTTGGCCGAGGCGGCGGCGGCCAGGCCGACCTCGGCGAGGAGCTGGTGGAGACGGCGATTCTCGCTCGCCAGGGCCTCGGCCTGCTCGGACTGGAGGGGGGGCGACATCGACGACGACGACGACGAAGATGGCCCGCCGCGAATCGAGTTGGCCTCGTCAACCTGTCGGTACAGGTCGTGGTTCTGCACGCGCAGCTGGCGCACGCACGACTCGAGCGCCGCCACGGTGCCCTCGAGGCTCTTGATGTATTGCTTGCGCCGCGCGCGCAGGTCGGCCTGGGCCTGGGCGTTGCGCGAGCGCTGGCGCGAGCTCGTGTCTTCCGACATGCTTGAGCCTCGCATCATGGCGTACTGTTGTGCTCGACTGAGGCTGGTGCGGATAGGGATATGAAGTAGAGAAGGTGGCGGGCGGCGGTTGCTCGGGAGGGGAGGCGCAGAAAGCGGGGAGGTGGCCTGGCTGCAGAGCTGGCTGGGTGGGTCGAATCCGTTGGGAGGAGGGTGAAGTGGGGGCGATTGTCGGGACGTAGATGGCGGTCAACCAGGCTGGTGGGGAGCTCGACCTTATGTATCGTTTGGTCTACGCCGGTCAAG